GAGCGGTATTAATAAATTTTTGAATGCCGGAGAGCAGCGGTCTCTCGACGATCATGCGCTGACGGCGGCCCCGGGGACGGTGGCTCTGTGGGGACGCGGTGGGGGCGAGACAGAGAGGGGAAGAAATTGAATCTTGCAGAGTGAGCGAGTAGTAAGGAACGACCCGGCTTAACTACGTGTCTGAGTGAGTAGTAAGGAACACCCCGGGATAACTACGCGAGAGAGTGAGTAGTAAGGAACACCCCGGGTTAACTACGCCAGTGAATGGGTTAACTACGTGAGTAGTATGGAACACCCCGGGTTATCCACCACCATCTTGGATACTGCAGAGGCTCATGTGCTTTGCTGTCGAGTACCATTTTGAACGGCAAACGACTGGGAGGGATGAAGAGCAGTAGTGATGACACTCCCAAAAAAAGGGAAATAAAAGATGGACAAAAGGGGGGGGGGAGAAAGAGAAAAGAGAAGGAAAAGAAAACAATATGACGCTCGGCTCGTTTAGCATTTCTCATTCGCAGCGCTCTCCTCGGGCCCGTCACTCCCCTTCATAGCGGTTTCTTTACGTATGTATGGTGTTTGTGTGAGTGTGTGTGTGAGTGTGTCAACGTGTATCTGTGTGTGTCGGTGACGTGCCGCTCATTTGAGGGGCGGTTCGGTGGAAGTGGCGCTCTGCCCGGCTCTGCCACGGCCGTTTCTGCTTGATGAAAAGGGCTCCCACCAAGTGGCAGCCGTTTGAGGAACCGCGCCGTCTGTATGGCGGCACAGTAAGTGTTGTGAATCAAAGGGCGACAAAATGCGCGCCACAGCGGCTCAGAAAAATGAGCAACCTGCAAAATATGTTGGAAAACGTGGAACAAGTCACCAGCGTGTGTTGCTGCTGCTGAGAAGATTGATGATTGTTTCGGTGGTGTGCGCTGCTGTGACTGTCTCTCTCCCTTGGCTGGCGGGGATATTTAAAGAGACGCTGGACCCGAGGCGGTCGTTTGGCGGTCACTGGCTTCACGCACTCTGCTTTTTATGACTAATTCCCGCCACCACCGCCACAGCGCTGCCAGACCGCCGGTCTGTCACGAGCAGTGACCTGCAGCGGGGCGAGACACAGCCCGTCTGCTCTCGGCCTCTATGGCCGAGGTAGTTCCACGATCAAAGTTTCCTTCAGAGCAACAAGATTGTCCTTCCCGGGCAAAACAGCGGTCGAATTAGGCCCCGCAAAGCGCCTGCCCCGGGGCGAGGCCGGCGAGGCCGTCGCCATGCAGGATGCCGGCCATCTTGGGGTCGCCGGGGCTGGCCGGGGCTGGCCGGGGCCTGCGAGCGTTGCAAGTCGGCCGCGGGGGGGAGGGGGGTGAAGATACGGTGTTGTTGCGGGGGCTGCCCGGCCAGCCCCACCGCCAGGACCGCGCCAGGACCGCGCCAGGACCACGGAGGGACGCGGCGCCGCGGGCAGCGGGCCCGGAACAGGGGCTTGCCACTTTCCATGGGAGGTGGGCCCCAAGGAATAGTGGGCCACACTCACAGCGGCACACACACACACACACACACACACACAAGGCTGAGGCACCCGGCCGGAAAACACGGAGAAGGCCCTCAGAGGCCCATCGGTGATAAGTCCTTTCCGAGCGGCTCTGTCGAGGCCTTTCTGTTTATTGTGCGGTTCGAGCGAGGGAACGGGGAGGGGAAGAGCCGCTAGAGGTTCGGTCCTAACCACCGCCGACTCGCCGCTCAAAACTGTTCCCCTGCATCCAAGTGCGCTCTCCGCGCCCCCAGCTGCGCTCCCTCCTTCACGGCCCGTGCTGGGCCGTGTTGGTGTTGGGCCCCAGCTGATAAGAGGCACTGCTCGTGGTAGTGGCGGCTGGGGGCTGCAGGCGGGTCCAAGGTGCCCGGCCAGAGAAAATGCTGAAATACGGGGCCGATTGGTCCGCTGCGAATCAATAGAAAGGGGATGGCGGTTACCATACCGAGGAGGGCGGCACGGGCCGGGCATAACTCAATGCCACAACGAATAGTGAATGAAAAAGCGACTCCGTCTAACGGCCGGCGCCAGCCAGCCAGCCAGCCAGCCAGACCGGCGCAGCGAGAGACAGAAATTCGCGCACTCAGCAGCAGTCCGGTCATGAACCTCATGTTTCCATAATGAAGGGCGCCGGCTCAGTCGAGGCTCCGCCGCCTCCACGGCCGCGCCGCGACACGCACAGGGAAGCGGCTCAAAGTTCGAAAGAAGACGCGCGAATTATTGCCCGGCGAGGGAATAAAATTGTAAACTCGAGCGCGAGGGCCGCGATGGAGGCGGCGGCGATCCCGAAGGAAGTCTATCGGGCGAGGGGGGCCCTGCCCGGCCCTGCCCGGGGTCTGCCGGAAAGCAGGGGAAATGGACGGCGAAAATTGGGCGGCGGAGAGCGAGGGAGAGCGAGGGAAGGGTGTAAAGCATCGCGCTGCCGCTCATGAGTCCCGGTCGGCAGACGGGCCGGCGCTGCCACGTCACGCGCGCCACCCGAAACGCGCTACCAGCCCCACGGTCCTCAAACGAGACTCGAATCCAACACTGGTACCAGCGGATTGCCTGTCGAACGAGGAGTCGATTCGAAGCGTCACGCGTTCGATTCGGACCCGGTCAAACGACTCGAAATTTTATCGGCAGTAGCGGGGCGTGGTACTGTGCAAGGGTGCGGTCGCCAGAATGGGTCCCGTCCCTTAGCCTCGCAATGGAACGCGTGAAGAACAACAGCTATTAGCGCGCTAAAGGGCTGGAGGGCTGCGAGGCCGCGCTGGTGTTGCGCGCCGTGGACGACTGCAGACTGATTCCGTCGCTCTGTCTCTCTCGCACTCGTGGGGCGCCCCTAAAAGGCGCGAGAGAGACAGAGCCACGAAAACGACTCTGGAGAGACAATGAAGGCCGCGGCGGCCTAACGGGGTGTACTTCTCGATGGCCTTCGACGGCCGCGTTGGCCGCGTAGTCCGCGCCGCGCCGCCTGCTGCCGCCATCGCCGGAAAAAGGGGGTTTATGTGACTAGTTTATGGAGTTTGGACGAGGACCGGCGAGTAAATGTGTCGTTTGCCGGTGAGATCGACGGCCGGCAGCGCGAGCAGCGCGAGCAGCGCGAGCAGCGCGTGGCCGGAGGCAAGTGCTGCTTCCCGAGCACCGCACTGCTGCCTCTATTTCTACCCCTAAAAAACAGACAGTGTTTTTACTACAATTTATTGTCATTAATGCAACCATCGCCTGCCTTTGCCAGCTGCACAAAAGCTTCTAAAGGTTTGAAAAAAAATGACAAAGGAAGTCGCGGGTTCAAATAATCAAGGGTGGTTGAAATTTTTTCGAAATAATTTAGAATGCAACTGTCCTAACGGTGTGTGAAATAGACCCCAAGGCGAAGCGCTGCGAAAGACAGAATAAAACGAAAAACAAAGCTTGTGGCACTGTTGTCCGCGCGTCATCATAGGTGTGAGTCGCAACTCTGCCTTCTCTCCCACACCAGAAGGCGGAGCGCAGTGGTGGAATTATTTCGTAGCGCAACGGCGAAAAATGTAGCCCCGGGGGCGGAGCGGGGTGCCGCACAGAGCGAGACGCGGAGTGATGGCACCGGTTTACGAGCGCGGGGTGAAAGAGATTGCAAACTCCCGAATTAGAGCGAGTGGTCCAGGCTAAAAAGATAAACTCGGTCGAATCAACATTTCGCTGGTGTAAGGCCCGCGCTCGGTACCTGCCGGAGAGATAGGAAAAGTTGACCATTCTGCCGCGCGGGTGCCAGGGACTCACTCTCACACCGCCTGCCGACGGCCCGGTAGGCCACTCGCTAGGCTCGGGGTTGGACGGGCTGGCCCGCCGCCCCTGGCGTTGGGCGACTTCAACTTGAAACTTGGAGGTCCTCCCACACAGAGCAGAGCCATACCTCGGCAGGCCGGGGCACTACGCCGCGCACTGGACGCCAACCACCAGCAGCCGTACAAATAAAGTGACAACGCCAAAAAAGTGAAAGGGAAAAAACAAATGACTTTTGATAAATGAAATGACGTCGATTTCCGCGCTCTGATTCGTGGTCCGGGAGTTCTCTTTTCTTTCGAGTGATAATTGTTCCAATCCCCATCATTTGAATAAATCGCCACTGTCTGGTTTTGTTTTTTATCGCGGTGACTGGCTACATTTCTGTCGGCCTCGTAGTGCGGCACGGGCGCTTCGTGCGAATACTCCGCGTGCCGACTCAGCCACAGCTTCGCGCCTCGCGTCACCGTATCGGCAGCGAGGTGCGAGGTGGCATGCCAAACGATCCACTGTGTAGCGCGCGTCGCACAACACGGAGCTTCCATTTTTCCCACGACCGAACTAATGGTGTTTAGCCACAGCTTTGCACTGAGCACTACTGCAATTAAACAGCAACTTTTTTAATGTCTGTGCAGTTTGGCGTCTAGGTAGTTTTTTTTCCTTTCTGTTTTCTCTAGACGAGTCCGAGTGACGCAACGAATTTCAGGGTAAAACTGTGGGGCTTCTCGCTGACGGCAGTGTAAATATTTGAGCCACCACGTAAATGACCTCCTGCGACAACGCCCCACATAAATTGCACGAGTTAATTTTTGACCTTATTCATGGCACAAGGTTTCACTTTTTGGAAAATGAAATATTTTATAAAGCATAAACAGTGGCAAAAAACGGCCATCCTGATGATAAGATGCTGACGGAGAAAAGCAGCGAAGTTTTTACCACTTTGACCACGTGTGACTACAGTAAAGGAAATAAGATATCTTTATCCGAGAGCACTCGTATCTCATCGATAGAAAAAAATGAGAAAATTCAGATTAAGAACCCTTTTTTTCGGTGCATGCTCCATCCGGGGTGAGGCCAGCAGCCGCTCCCTCTTGATGCTCATTTTTTTCCTTTCTTAATTGGTGTTAAATGTTGCATCTTTTGTAGTGTAGACTTATATTGTGCCTTCTTGGGAAAACTTCCGCAGAAAGTTTTCAAGCGTGATTCTTGATTGGCCTGTTATGTGGGGAGGTCCTCGACTCACCTCGCCGCTCACATCGCGGTGCGGGCGGGGCCGCTGCACTTTATCCTTGGCCTAGGGATGACGTCACACTGCTGTCACGAACACGAACGCACTGACACACACGCACGCACACGCGTGCACACACACACACTGGATCCGCGCGAGAGCGCGCTCGTCGCGCGGGAGGCCGAGGGCTGCCGCACGACGGAGGGCGGTGGCTGGGGTTGTACGACCGTCTGCTGCCGAGGCCGCGACGGTACTGCGAGAGGCCCGCCGCGGCGACACCCCCACCGCGCCCCACCACGCCCCGCCCCGCCCCGCCCCGCCCCGCCGCCAGTGGCGCCTGTGCAGGGATGACGCCTGTGCAGGGACGGCGCCTGCACCGCCGCCTTCGTGCAGGCCCGCATTTTGCACGACGTGTCCACCATTGTTCTGATGGCCGGAAAAACGGCAGTCGCGACAGAGCGCCCGGAGTGCACTGGAGCCAGAAAGCAGCGGCGCTCACGACAGCATGCAGTGAGTATGGAATGTGTTTTCAACTTTATTTATTGTTTATCAAAAAATTGTCCACACGGAAAACCGCTTTAGATCTGGTAAGACTTACGTGGTAATATTTTGAAGAAACATTTTTTTTCCGAGTGGCTTCGATTTTCCAGAGGTTTTCGTGGTTTCAGGTACCGCTGCGGTGACAACGTCGGCCCGACTCGCCTTGTCCAGAGACTTGATCCGTTGGAAGGCGGTGCAAGCGAGCGAACAGACGGACGCCAAAGGGCGGTGACGGCCACCGCTGGAGGCTGATTCCAAAACAGCGCTGTCGACGCTCTGTCTCCCGTCACACACCCCACGAGTGCGAGAGAGACAGCGACGACGACGAAGTCAGCCTGGCTGGCTACCTGCCGGCCGGTTGGAGGATCAAAGGCGCGTTCGGACCCGAGGAAATGCCGAGTGGGATTCCCGTCGTCGAGTACTCCAGCAGCCTCTCCAGCCGACTCCAGCGCGCCGAGCTCTGGGCCACTCACCGCGTCAAAGAAGAAAACACTTTTGTCCTTGCCTGTGCCGCAAGATGACGCCCTGCATGTTGGACTCGGAATAAACGTCAGTGTGGAGCTCGCGATCTGCCAGTCTGCCACACACTGGTCCGTGGCCGAGACCTCCAATACGACCCCTTTCTTGTATGGATCTCTGTATTCATGCCCGCCCGCCCCGAGAGGACGCGCCGTCGTGCCCTCCGCGTCGCCTGGCACGAGGAGACGCCCGCGCCGACGAGCATGGCCGGGCAGAGTGAAAGCAGTGTCCGATGTTGCCGGGGGGCGATACACGTGAGGCTCCATTCTTCCTGTTGGTCCTCATTCGTCGCGCTGTCTTCCTCCTAGACGCCTCATGAGGCCGACGAAAACGACTCTCGAAAGCAGTCTGCAGGGTGGCAAGGACGCTCTGGCGGTCACACACGACTTCAGCGGGGCGCGCTTGAAAATTGTAATGCTTTTAAGACTCGCACTGGTGGTGGTGCGATGAAACTGGGCCTCCCGAACGGGCGATTCTATATTGTCCGCAGTCATGACCGGGACCGACGTCGGCCGGCGGGCCCACTGGGCGCGTGGTGGCGCTTGGGCACATATGTTATCCGACACGACGCACTCGGCCACGTCTGCGCGCCGTCTTGCGGGGGCGGTGCCGGAGACGGTGCCGGGGGCGGGGTGTGTGGGGGCGGGTCGCACACGAGCCGCAAGCAAACGCTGGTCGGCGCACTTAGAGAGACAAACGTGCCGCCCCCGCTCTTGCCACGGCCGCCGTCCGTCCCCCAGCCCTGCGCGTCTGCTTAGGTCTGCCGTCGAGTTCCTCCTATGGAAATGGGGACAGGCAAAAAGATATCTTGGATTTGAAAGTGGAAGAAGAAGGCGAAAAAGGTGGTACTGATCCTGGGCCAGAAAGCTTGAATTTGCGACGGACTCTGACCGCACGGCCTCTGACACAATATCCACCGCACTTGGTCTCGCAGTGCTCTGAGCAGGGGCGGCAGGAGGGGTGGTCGGGACGCTCCCCTCCTTGCCTCCAAGGCCGCGCTAGGATAGGACAAGGCTAGCGGGGACTCTGGGGGCCTCGGGGGGGGGGGGGGGGGGGGGTGGAGGGAGGGGGGGGGGGGGCTATCGGCCACGACCTTTATTTGGGGCAGAGTCGCAGCGCCGTTCAATCACGCTGCACGACGCCCAACGAACCGAGGAGCAGTCGGGCCGACAGACAGGGCTGACAGCACGTGCATCCCGCAGCACCGCGCAGCACCGCGCACCACTGCATCGAGACTTCGAGGACGTCGAGGGGCTCCTGGCTCATGCACTCAGAGCCCCTGCACGGCTCGGGGTAGGCCGTGCCGCACTGCATGGGTGGCGCCGTGCTGCCTAGCCAGGCGGGCGCTCACCTCACTCCCCGTCACTGAAAATAACTTCTTAGACCTTCCTGTTCAATCATTCCTGATTTAAACTTTTTTCTGAAAATAAATGAGTTTCTTGAATGAAGATTCCTTTTACTTAAACCAAACATAAAAACAGAAGGAGAAATTTGTGAGGGTTGATGGAAGCCAAATTCAAGAGTCGGCTGCGGAACTTGTAAGGAGGTTCCCCGAAAGAGCGTCCTCCGTTTCCACGCCACGTGTGATCGCGGGTGAATAATAGATGCCCTCGCTCCGAAAATTGCCGCGCCGATCCGGGGATGCCGCGATGAGGGCGTCCGGCTGCCTGCGAAAACGGCAAAAGTGGGCGAACACTTAGACAAACATTTGAGGCTGAAAGTTTCCAAATTGTGAGCCCCGAGGCAGGGGAGGGTGTTTGTATTTGAACGGCCTCGCGGAGACGAAGGTGGGCGGCTCTACGTGGCGCTGCCGGGCTCATCGAATGGCTTTTTGAGGCTTTCGATCATCTTGAAAAGCTTTAGTCACACAAATCCAGAGCTACTTTTGACTTTCGTGGTTTTAGAGGGAGCTTCAGAGCGTATCCACCTTCAATTCACGTCATCCTGCAAGTCTGGGAGGCTCGTAATCGGCCCTTTCAAATTGAGAGAAAACGTGTGCTTTTAATCCGGTGTGTATTTTCCGTCTCACCGACATGAAATATGTAATGACGGCAAGCCACCGGCGTCGGGCAAAGCTCTTGCATAAGCGCAGCGTAGCGTACCGCCCCCGGCCCCACGCAGTGCCTTGTTTGCCACGGCGTAATCTGCGAGAAGAAGAAGAAGAAGAAGAAGAAGAAGAAGAAGAAGAAGAAGAAGAAGAAGAAGAAGAAGAAGAAGAAGAAGAAGAAGAATTCGCCAGAAGTCTGTATTTTTTTGTGAGAGTAGGTGTGTCCGTGTGTGTGAGTGCGCGTGCGCGTGTGTTTCGAGGGTCTCCGACTAAAACGTAAACAACTCTCCATCTCAGAGCAGCCTAATGAAACGTCAGCTTCAAGATCAGAGCTACGATTAGCACGGCGGGGGGGCATAGTCAGGACGGAGAGATACTGCTGCAAACCAGGGAAAAATAGAGTAACGTTTTGGCAAGGGAGTGCATTGTGCTCAGAGGGTCAGTGAAACCAGAAGAAGGGGGGGGGGACCCCATCGACCGCTGAGCTGCTGCGACAGGGAAATCAACCGTCTCGCCAAACAAGCCGACCAGGCTGGGCCAGTCCCGTCGCAAAGTCGTCCGATCACCCCAGTAGCACTCGCCTTAATTAGCCTGACAACTTGGTGCAGAAAACGGGTGACCAGACAGTACTCGCTCGACCGCGGGGATGGAGAGCTCCACCTGACCTGTCCGAACAGTGTGCAAAAGACAGAGAGATTTAAATTTAATACCAACAAAATTTTAAAACGATGGGGGGATCAAAATGGCAACTTGTTAGAATGGAGTGTCGTTACTACTGACGGCAACGAAACCAGGTTTACAAGTTACTTCGTGGAAACCACGTTTTTCCTTCTCTAATTGCAGTTTTTCCATTTTTAAGTTTCCCAAGCTTGTTAATGACACTCTTATAATGACCACTCAGGCGTAATTGGCCCAAAGTTGGACGGGCTCGTCACCCCGCGGCGGCGCGAGGCGCGAGGGCCCCGAGCAGCGCCACCCGTGGCCTAATATCCACTAATGCGCGCCGGGCCCTGCCCCACCGCAATAATACTATGAAGAAAATAAAGCAAAAATGCTTCGTCCTTGGCGATTGTGATGTCGGCCACGTTCGTCGGATGACTGACTTCGTTTGCATGGTGGCTTTGGTTCAATGTTTTGTGCTACTGCATCCGCACCGCAACCAGAATGACTTTTGGGTGGATACCAAATCTGCATGTACCCATTTTCTAACCTGTTTTCTTTGTGGCTGCTATAAACGGGCAAAAAGGGTGGTACTGCTGGATTTTTTTTCCACCCGAATATACACAAGGCTCGGAAACCTTTGCTCCGGGTGTTATAGGCGGACTGCCATAACTTGCCGCCCTCCACTCGCGGCGCCACCACTCTGCGCAATTGTTGAGCGCGGGAAATGTGATTTTGTGGCTTTGTGTGCAGCGCGCGAAACTAATGCCTCGTTAGGCACGCCTCACGTCGCCCCGCGTGATGACAGGGACTGCCGTATCCAGTAGCCCTTGCCGCCCTGCCGGGCCCTGCCCTGCCCCGGCCCTGCCTCGGCCCTGCTGGACACAATCCGCTGCAACCTGACTACCCTGTGCCATCCATTACGCTCTGTCCGCCATTTTCTAGACTTCGCAACTTCTGACAGACTGCAAAAATGTTTACTACGGCTTGTTACCCTCTACAGTTATGGCAAAATCAGCTACTTGGTTAATATTTACTGCACAATTCTTCGGCAAGAAAGAAAGTTGAATTTCACCCGCTAAGCATTTGTTGGTTCCACAACATCGAAAATAAGAGACCCAAATCGTTGCTCAAAGTGATGCCATATCTGGCCACGTGGCCTCGGTAGGCCGTTTGGTCGGACGCGCTAAATCCCCGCTCCTTTCACCCCAGCCCCAATTTCACCCGGTTTCCCTGTCGATGGGGGCTTAGGCGCCGGCCCGCGACATGTGTCCTGCCATAGCCGCGGCACCGCCACGGCACTGCCAGGACACATCCGGCATGCAGACTGCAGGAAGCCCCCACCCTTAGTGCTTCTGGGAGGGCCCTTTAGTTTATAAGCCTGCCGTGGGGCCCGCCCTGCCACCCGCTTAACAATGGTGTAATTTACAGAGCGGCTCAGGCGCGGCCAAGGAGGGGAGGGACATGTGCCGT